GGTAGCACTACACCCAAAAATTCTGCAATGAAATACCAACTAGCCTGATTACACACATTTGTTCTGTACAATTCAGCCTTTCGTAAGTCTGCCTCCAGTCAAACCAAAGAGTTTCCTAAAATTAACTCGAGGGGACTCTGTCGCTGCGATCGTTCAGAGACCATGGGAATGATGGGTAGTACACACATTTGCCTAGTCTTTGTACTTGCGGGCGGCGAATCGTACTTGCAGCTTCGTTTATTGCTGTGTTTCGGTTTTGTTCTGGATGAAAGATTCAACCCTTTTGAACTTCGTGACCCGATTTAGAAAGGTAAGTATAAAAGGATAACATGGTGAAGTGCAACTACTGAACATTTGGTAATTTTTGTTTAGTTAGAAAACAACTCCAGGCCACACGAACACACACGGAGAAAAAAGCCGGCCAGAAGTACGAAGATTAGACAAATGTGTGTACTAACCATCACTTCCACGCTCGCTGAAGCGCCGTGCGTTGCAGCTCCCATAGACACTAGCGCCAGAGTTCTCTCTAGTGGATATTAGGAACTCTATGAGTCAAACTACGAACATACTTCATTTTCCGTGTAAACACACAATCTGAAGATAAAACGCTTATTTCTGCGCCTGTGTCACTTTGTATCGATCGGGATCGCTCCCGGTCCGAAACATTCGGTGTGACTGAGAAATTATAAAAGATACTCATCATGTGATGACATCAACTGCGGCTGAGTCGCACGAACTATTATGGTTTACTCACAAGAATGATGCAAGCTCACAAGTAAACTGTTCAGTAATCAAAATTTCAAGTTAAAGCCACCTAACACACAGTCCATGTTCACACCGAAAGATGAATCAGCTAGAAGCGGCCATGTTCATTGGTGGCTACTCATCGACTGTCTTGTGGTAGCACCACAAGACAAGCGATGAGTCATTAGCACACACAGGCGCAAACCCACTCGCAGGCGTCGCTTCAAAAAAAAAAAAAAAGGAAAAACCAAATGCAATGGCGACAAAATGTGGACAGTCCGATCTACACCGAGTGGCGATTCATGGTGAGCGCGGCTGCTGTATGTCCCATGTTGCTTCAAACAGCACACATCATTGGTGTGGCTCAGGCTATACAATGAATGCCTTTGTGATGGATTTTCAGCGTTAGCTTTCACATTTTGCTACCGACGTCAGGCAACAGCACACTTATCTGCCACGGGTGGAAGATGATGGAGTCCGATGTGTTCCCTGTAATTGGGCGCCTTTGACTAATTTAACGACTCAACATTGCCTCTGTGCCATTAGCCTGCGCTGAGCTTTATTGCCTTTAAAGGACCAGACATCCAATTTACTCATATCAAGATTTTCGCGAGAACGAGTAGCTATCAACGCCCTAGTAGCGATTCCCAACCTATAACGCAATAAAGGAAAAATAACTATCACTTTTATTGATTTGTATCAATGGTATCTAGCACAATTCAAAAAGACCAACAATCCCACCATTTTTGCACTGCGAGCGCTACCACTGGCACTTGCTCGCGGTCACCTCCAGACCGCGCCACTTCACAGAAAAGAGTGACGTCAGGCCCAATGCTGCTCCGCAAATATCTCGTCTGCTAGGCGCACACACTCAGTCATGCCTTGTCACTTGCATTGCCGTCGTTGCTGTACAAAGTGTCGACAAGGTTTGAATATGCCATTTGTAGCTTGGAATACGAGAGTCTGGAGCGTGGAATCGCCTCGATTCGCTACATTGCAAATGATTTTTACTTCGGTCGACCCTTTGCAGAACAGTGATTAGAAAATGGATGCCGTTCCAAGCAGCGATGAGGACGTGCCTGAGGATGCATGCTTCAGCCACGCTCGCTCGTGCACAGCATTCAGGTATACGCAAAGGGGTCAATGAAATAACGGTATAGGGAAAGCGCACCAGTGGATAAATAGAATACGTTCCCTGCTGCCAGGTTCTTCTTTGCGCCTCCATATGGCCCCACCTATACAGCTTCTCAAGGTGGCTGCTGCCGTAACCCGGTAATATGCTGGCACAAGCCAGTCTAGGGACAAACTAAAATTCACTATTAATGATACCTTTGTGTTACTCGTTAGGGATAACTGTCAATACGCTACTCCATTTTGATAGCTTGCGGTCGTTTTGGCAATTTACATGCACATAATGAAAAGACACCCTCATTGTGCTTTTTCGCGTTTGGAACCAGAGGATTGCAAATTGCAACGGTTCACTGATTCCCTGACTGACGAGCGCATGCTGAATGACGCTCTATTATTTCGACGATATTTTATGGGTGGTTTGCATGTTTGTAATTTAACAAAATCAATCAAAGCAGTGCGACGAAGATCAGATACGACGAGTGAGTGCATTTCCAGGCTTCAGCACTAGGATAAGAACACTCAGATCGTAGATGACATCGCTACTAGCACATCATCACTTAGGATGGTATGCATGGAATATATCGCACCGAACACATAGCACTAGTGTTGATGTCACAGGGGCACTCCATTTTTTATTAAATTCTTGTACACTGTTTGCCTTCGAAATAAAATAACTTCCACGCAACAGACGTGATTCAAATTTGCCCAAGAGGACCTATGCACACCAAGCAATCGAATGAAGGCACATCTCGATTTTGAAATTTGATGCAAGTGCTCCTTTAAAGAGCCACTCACCAGATTTGACAATTTTGAGCTGACAAGCGCAAAGCGTAGATGAGGCGTTCATGATCACGTCTGCCAAAATTGAAACACTACGCGCTGCGGAAATGGGTGAAATTTCAAGATGATCTACTCCCCCTTCCTTTTTCGGGCACAGGCCAATAGAATGAAGGCATGACGTGCACGTATGAATGACCCTACATACACAGCAATGCAGCGACGTTGGTCAACTAGGTAGACAACTGCTGCTCTGACGTTGTCAACAGTATACCACGTGACATGGCTTAAATTATTTAACACGACATGCGTAGTTTGTGTAATTTGCTGCTTGAATAGACGAATAAAACTTGAAATAATGAGAAGCAATAAGGAAATGTGCGCATTTTTCTTTTATTTGTTCCTCGTGAATTGCAACGAGATGCGGGGCTAATGTGCCGGCGTTTCGCATGCTTTCCCTGTTCCTGCTGTCAGAGCATCGAGCATACGACAGCCGTGGAAGCGAAAGTAACGCTCCTACGCGTTCGCGCACTCATTGTGCTCATATTTTACCACGTCTAAGCCAGCATTTCCAAACCATCCTGCAGAAACAGGCAATAGACCACAGAGGAGACGCTTGTCAATAAAACAATGCCGTTCCCGTGGTCAAGGGCTGGGCTTGTTCAGGCACATCATGCGCACGTGACCTCTTGGTCGGATGCCAGAGGAAATTTGGCTTGTGAAGGCTATGCGGAGGAGCAGCAAGGGTTGGGAGCTCGCCTCCACTGATCCTCGTTTCGCGCCACTTCAAAACAACCCGTTTTCTCAGCTTCGAATTAACCGATTCAAAACATTTTTGTGGCAAAATGTTCCTCCTTGGAAACCCAACTACTTCCACTGTCTAACTAAAATTTGGTATGGAGCCTGGTGAGTGGCCCTTTAATGAAGTAGGCAGAACAAAGATACGCTCCCTTAGGGGGAATCCAGTTTTCTCAGATATCGTTGCAATGCAGGCGCTCTTTCTATCACCATCAGCTGGAAAACGAAATGTTTTGACGAGCATATAAATTTAGTTCAAGCTTGCAGACTGCATCTTTTCACGACAGCTGTGCCGCAGTTGCGAGGAGCGCTTTATTGGAACACTGCTTTTCCCCTAAAACATTGAAACACAAGCAGCCACAGCCAGCAACAAAGGCTAGAACACTACAAAAACGATCTAAACAGGACATTTCTAAATTAGAAGGAGGTGAATGCACAATGTTTCCCGACAGGCGCCGATGAATAATGAAAGAACCTGCATGCAATGTACCAATACCATTAGCATAACATCACAAGCATCGCTTCTCAACATGCTGGTATTAAGATGGTGGTTTCCAAGACATAAGTGCGAGCTAGTTTTTACATGAAAACATATTGCTGGGACAGAGGTCTAACACCTAGCTAGATTTAGCTCGTTTCAATTAGTGAAACACTGAAAATTATGAAGGATCATGCCTACTTATTAACTGCTTTTTGGTCTGCACATGACCATGTCTTCTGAGTTCCACACCCTTGCCACCAACCAATTCGTTCTAGGGTCAGATACTGAATAAATGCGAATACAAGCCGCCACATTCTAGGGTCAGATACTGAATAAATGCGAATACAAGCCGCCACACTGAAAAAGCATATTGCACTATGATCGCGGCAAAGTAGCAGAGCTCGATGTCATGCCGATTTATGCGGAAGACGACGAACGCTTCAGCGAAACGCAAGAGCTCACACCAGCCACGTGCCACAGCACCTGAAGACTGCAACTTGCCGGCTGTCGACACGGGCGGGAGAGCAATTAAGCTTTGTTGGTAAGTATCGCTCAAGGCACGCCTGAGTTCACGCTGTAAAGATGTGCACGGGAACCCACCTTTCGAAATCTGCCCAGTAAAATCCATTCGCAAACTACGAAGTTGCGCGATAGCGGCACGACAACGGGGCTGTGGACAGCCTGCGCGCACACCACCTCCACGCACATCATACAGCCAATCCTAAGCATGGCAGATGACATGCGCTTTCTGATGGGCCCGTGCCCAGTTGAGGACAGCGCACTAGCGCTTCACCGAGACGTAGTACACAAGAAGGCACCGCGTGGAATGACATTTCCACGGCGTACCGGCGAAGCGACGAGGAGGCGCGCATCGCGTTGGTCATAGCCGCAAAATGCTTCCGCTCGCGATTTTTCACTCCGATGCACGTTAGCAAAGCCCGAAAAAGGAAAAGGTGATGACTGTCACACGCGTTCGAACACTAGCTCGAGGCCCGAGGGCCCCATTCCCCTCCTCATGGTAATGGCGCCATTCATGACCCATTGAGTCGATTTTCCCCCGAGTGGTCACCTGCTCGAGTTGTTTTTCCGCCGTCTCTCGCTGGTTTGGGTCTATGGTGGCCCGGAGAATATCGATAAGCTGGCCGGCGTCCATGGTTATGCGAGTTGCGAGGCACGAAGGAGCGATAAAACTGTGGTTAAAACGTGCTTCGCGTGAACCATGCACCGGTGACGCACCCAAGAGACATGCTCCAATGGATGAATAAATATAAATATGATTGTACCACAAAACACCCTTTAGAAAGAGTGGCAGCTAGCGCCATCTAGCCATAATACTTGATGAACAAAATCTAGATTTATCTTTTTTTTATTAGTGAAATGAAAACTGGCGCTATGCAGTGAAGAATTCAATTTTCACTAGTGCCTTGACTGTAGCTACCAATCAGATAACCTCATCCTAGTTATTTCTACCCGCTTAAAGTGTATTTCGCCCATAGAGTTCCTTAATATAGAGAGAACTCTGGAGCTAGTGTTTATGGGAGCTGTCATATTCTAGTACACTATGCTATACTAGAACTATAGTGTATTAGAATATGGGGTAGGGTGTTCAGGCGCATTCTCTCGCCATATATCGCATGAAGTGGGGCCCATGTACAAAAAAACCGTTTCTCAAGGTGGCGCTGCCGTAGCATATGGGCTGGCAGGATTGTCAGCTCAGCGCCGCTCTGCCTTCTCGGGTGCTGTTCAGTGACCTGTTGCTTGTGTTCGCATCCGCTTAACGAAAGTTTTTCTCGCAATGTTTTTGCTTGCCACGTGACAGTGAGGCGATGCCGATTCATCGGCGGCAACGACACTGCTTTGCACCTAGGTGCGAAACAGGGTATACCTTCGGAAAAAAGGTGAGCAGCCGGCGCTTTTCGCTGCACCCAAAGAGGAAGCACGGAGGAAGGTATGGGAACAGAATTTACATCGAAAGGATGGTACCTTGAACAAAAGCTGCTCTGTGTGTGAGCTACATTTCGAGCCTTTATGTGTTCTATGAGACTACGCGCACGTTATAAACGGCGAAGAAGTTCGCGTACCACGTAGGAGACCAGAGCTATATGCCGGACGCCGTGCCAGTGTTACTGCTTAGCGCTCCAAGCTACTTATCGAAGAAAACGCCGCATCCAAGACCTCCGAAAAAGTGGAAGAACTCGGCGGTCGAATCTACCATCTCCAAGAAAACTGCAACACCCTGTGTTGACTGGTGAGGCCACTGATTCAGGTTCATCGATGGACCTTCCTGCTGACTACGAACCCGAGGTGGCGAACACTACAGGGACTGCAGCTTTGCTGGAACACTTACTCAAGTTTTGTTTAGCTTCAATTTATATGAGCTCGATCGCACCGCATCTCGTGTCAAAGAGAGCGGTAATTTGCGTGCTGTCACGACTTCATTTTTGTGTGAAGGGTATCAACCAGTCTTGAGAGGCAAAGCGAAATAAAAAAAAAAACTGCACGCGAAAATTAGTCGGTGTTCATAAAGGTGCCACCGTGATGAAGTGATTGTGAACTGATAATTCCACGGAATGGCGACGAACTTAATCGGCTCACTGCAGTATGCGCTCTCGTAAATAAATGGTTTCTTCTTACAGTCTGACAGTGGCGCCAAATGATGTTTCCTTTTGACTGTACAGTGCAATATCCAGGCCACAGCAGCAGTATTTCGGTGGGCGCGTAATCGTTTAAAGATCCAAGATTGTCAAAATTATTCCCAAGTCATCACCTACGGCGTGCCTCTCAATCAAATGGCAGTTTTGTCACCTTATCAACATAAATAAAATGGCATGATGCAAGTACCGACAAGAACGCTGCCGCGAGCGTAACGAAGGAAGTCGAAGCTGTCGCAGTGTGCAGACTACGACTCGGTATACCAGTAATATAACAAGACACTTTCGGGTTTATAGATGCTCTTTCGATACCTTAATCTTCCTAATTTTTTATTCATTAACCAACCGAGTTTTAAAAACTGCAGGCAGTTTCCCCAGGGATGACTGCATCGCTGTTGTATGTGCATACCTGCATTTGGACCGTATGTTGCGGCTTTGACATTTCGTTTTGTTTTGAATGCAGTACAAACAAACCGATATGAAAGCTTTTCGCGGACGTGTCAGCAATTACATATGCGAGCGCATATCACGGGATCGAATCCCGGACGCGGTGGCTGCATTTTCGATGGAGGCTCAAAAACTGAGGTGCGTGTACCTAGATTTAGTTGTACGTTAAAGCACCCCAGGTAGTCGAATTTCTGGAGCACTCTTCAACGGCATCTCTCATAATCGTGTGGTGGTTTTAGGACGTTAAACCCCTGCTATTACTAATATCAAAGCACAGAAGTGCATAAAAGGCAAAGCTTGAGGTGACAGCTTATGCTAAGCCAACGCCTCCTCTAGAAAGATACCTGAGGAATGGCTCGTGCTCCCAGCGGAGTTGGCCTGCCTTGAGTTTTAAAGAAGCTCCGCGTCGTTGCGCTCGCGACCAACACTATCATGACCAACATTCTTCTTACCATATAAGGGTTTTCAGCTACTTGTACATAGAGGTGTGCGCCGAGGCGATTTCGACAGACGGCGGCGTGGGTGTCGTTCAGAGTCGGCGGCGTCGTCGGCGCACGCCGGTTATTTCATCGGCGGTGGCGCGCGGCCAATTTTCACCAGCTGCGTCAGCCACGGCTTCTCCCTGAAAACACTACCCCATATTCTAGTACACTATACTAGAACTAGGTAAATTGCAAAACTCTCCACGTCAGACAACCCGTCACATGGTGCAAGGACACTTTCCGGTTTAGTGGCGCTGGCGGCGCAATAAGCTCTCGCTAGCAGACGAAAATGCGTAGTCGTCGTGGTAGGACGCCGTGGCGGCCATTCTGAAACGGCTTTGCCAACAGTATATTATCGGGATTTGCTGTTGTGCTGCCGCAAAAACTAATACTGCGTAATATTTAGTGGCATAAGGTAAATACAGTATAATTGTGGCTTTCTGAGCGGTTCGCAATAAACGATGCTTCACATATATATAGCATGACATATACAAGTCTTTCTGTTAGTTGCTAGTTGGTGTACATTCGCAATGGATTTTTAGGCGCAAAAAACACAATTACAATGTCTTGTATCCTCTCTTGTGACTGTGTATTTCGTGCCTTAAAAAAACAACTATTTGGCGCTATGCCGTGGCTTTTGTCTGGTTCTGTAGTCAGCTTTTTTTTTTCTTCATGTCAGTCACATTCTTAAACAACATAGGCCGTCGAAAAGCCGCGCGCGCGGCTCTTTTCTTGAGCATGTCTTCCCTCTACAACTTTTTGAGTTCCTCTAATGAAACCTGTTAACACAGCTGAAGCCAAAGCTTCGAGCAGGGACCGCACTTGGTGTATTGGTAAGCACTTCGTAGTCATGACTCATGATGCCGCCTGCTGAGGCACTGGGGCAACATGAAGACACTTTCAGCTTTTCTGTGTCCTTCAGAAGTTAGGCCAATTGGGTGATGGTATCTGCATAGCCGGTCGACTTGGCTAAGTGATGGTGACGGCTGCTAATGGTGACTCCCTGTCTTCTGCGACGACTACGTATTTCTGCAAAAATAACGCTCTTTTTTTTCTTCTTTGAACACTCGTAACACAAGACGTCTTGTCTCGCCATTCTCAACAACGTTCCATCAGCATGCAGCAGGCAAACAAACGTTTTCTATGTCTTGAAGTAAACTGACGACACTCGTTGATGGCATGTCGGAACTTATTTCACTATCTTCGAGCTCAGTGATCGGAGATAGTCTATTCTTTTTCGCCGATGATAATATGGAAACTACCCCACTTCTATCGCGCAGCTTTCGCTTCTTTATCGCGGGTTTTGAAAGGTAGCGGGCGAATTCGGGAATTCCCGTAGAAAGTATCCTTCGACGAGGTCCCACTTTGCTCTGGCGATTTGTACCTTCTTACCATATGAAGTTTTTTCTAATATGGCTAGTTAACTAGCCACCCTGTTTACGAGGTGTCTCCTGATGGGAAGAGTACCAGAGTCTTGGAAGAACGCTAACATCATCTTAATACATAAGAAAGGAGATGACAAGGACTTGAAGAATTACAGGCCGATCAGCTTGCTCTCTGTAGTATACAAGCTATTTACAAAGGTAATTGCTAACAGAGTAAAGAAAACATTAGAATTCAATCAACCAAAGGAACAAGCAGGATTTCGAACAGGCTACTCAACAATCGACCACATTCATACTATCAATCAGGTAATAGAGAAATGCTCAGAGTATAACCAACCACTATACATAGCCTTCATAGATTACGAGAAGGCATTTGATTCAGTAGAAATATCAGCCGTCATGCAAACACTGCGGAATCAGGGCGTAGATGAAGTATATATAAACATTCTGGAAGAAAACTACAGGGGATCAACTGCGACCATAGTGCTTCATAAAGAAAGCAACAGAATACCAATCAAGAATGGTGTAAGGCAGGGGGACACAATCTCCCCAATGCTATTTACCGCGTGCTTACAGGAGGTTTTCAGAAGCCTAGAATGGAAACAGTTAGGGATAAGAGTTAATGGAGAATACCTTAGTAACCTGCGCTTCGCCGATGACATCGCATTGCTGAGTAACTCAGGGGAGGAATTGCAACTCATGATGAGTTAGCAAGGAGAGCAGAAAGGTGGGTCTTAAAATTAATCTGCAGAAAACGAAAGTAATGTACAACAACCTCGGAAAGGAGCAGCGCTTCGAGATAGGTAATAGTACACTTGAAGTTGTAAAAAACTGTGTCTACTTAGGGCAGGTAATAACCGCTGAGCCGAATCACGAGATTGAAGTAACTAGAAGAATACGAATGGGGTGGAGCACATTCGGCAAGCACTCTCAAATTATGACAGGTAGATTGCCACTATCCCTCAAGAGGAATTGATATAACAGTTGTATCTTGCCGGTACTTAGCTACGGAGCAGAAACCTGGAGATTTACAAAGATGGTTCAGCTTAAATTGAGGACGACGCAGCGAGCAATGGAAAGAAAAATGGTAGGTGTAACCTTAAGAGACAAGAAGAGAGCAAGCAGAGTGGATTAGGGGACAAACGGGGGTTAAGGATATCATAGTTGAAATAAAAAATAGGAAATGGACATGGGCCGGGCATGTAGCGCGTAGACAGGATAACCGCTGGTCATTAAGGAAAACTAACTGGATTCCCAGAGAAGGGAAGCGGGTTAGGGG